TCTTCTCTTTTTGACATTTTACAAAATTAGCTACGCGTGGCCTACCGACCTGTACAAACGAAAACGAAACAGAGCACCTAGGACATCACGTTTTTCGATTTCTCTTTATCGTTTCAATATCTTACTAAGGAAATGCTTTAAAAAAAAAAAAAAACGAAAAATCAATATCGTGTCTATTCTTAAATGTGTAAATATCAGCGGTTTCACTAAACTGTAACAAATGGATATAGATCATTGTTCTTTTATCATATTCAGTTAGTATATACATTTTTTCGTATAATTATATTTAAATAGATCGTGTGTGAGTGTGTGCGCGCACGCGCTTCCGCGTTGCCATTGCGGTGCGTGCGTGTACGCATGTATGTATGTATGTGTACGTACGCATATATTCGAGTATCGTACCATCGTACCTTTTCTCTTTTAAAATTGACTGAAAATGTATGTATGTATGATCGAAATACGTACGAAATGTGAAAACGCGAAGCGATATTCGTCACATTGTTTTTTTCTTTTTTTTTTAGGAAGAGGCAATGATATGTACTTACAATTAGCCTAATACACAGTGACGAACAAACGTGTGAGCACGGGACTCCAGTCTCATAAAGAAGCAACGATGCTACGAATTCGTCGAATGCTTAATAGGGGGTTGAGTAATTGAAAAGGATAAGGTGAATATAGAATACAACGTGTAACAATTTATTTTCACTCGTGTGTTAATAACGTACGGAGTACTTTGGGAGAATAGATAAGCGACGTAAGATTTGTTGAGCCAGATGAAACAGCGAATAAGCAGTAAGAATGTTCACCAAGTGAACTGAGTTTTAGAATGAACGAAATCTGTAAAAAGTTTTAAAACAGAAGTTAAAATATGAACATCTCACAAGAAGATAGAAAAAAAAGTTGCTATTTTTCTATGCGAGTTATTGCTATTGAACACTGCAGACAACTATGAAGTCAGTTTGCACAGTAATCGTCGAAGTGAGAAAAAATGACGGGTGATGGTTATGAATATCTTAAAAAAATAACAGGTAGCAACTTATTTCTGATCTAGAAGCGCAGAGAATTACGCGAATCAATCAGAATATCCGGAATCGTTGAAAACTCGGGATGAAAGTCAATAAGTGGATTACCCATCGATGTTTAAAGAAAACTGATTTAAAAACGAATGGAAAGAAACAGAAATCAGCTTTTCTTTTAATAAAGATATCACTACATACTAAAAAATGGACTACAGCAGTTGGAACAGGTTTATATTGTGCGATGAGACAGAGATACATCGATATAAAACAGACGGATGGTTTGGTACAGAAAGTCACCTAATAAAAGAATCCTTTATTAGGTATTGAATGAGCAATGTATTTCGGTAATGGCACAAAAACGAAACTGGGTTTACCAGTTAGAAATTTTCATTTAACGAACCGTTAAAACATTCAGATATCAATCTAACTGAAAATCAGTGTTTCCACTGAATCACTAGTTCCACTTGTTCCAAAAGAAGTCGAGCGAGATACGAAAACTCGTCGTCGGGTATCTATAAATTGTCGAGTGAAAATGGAAAATTAACATCCAGATAATAAATTGGACTACTTTCAAGACAAAGTATTCATTTCAGATATTAATTTTGATAAATATTATTCAAATGCAAAGTTGCAAATATTGTATCGTGTGTTTATTTTTCTGAATTAAATACTCCATAGAGCAGGACCGATCTCCAAGTTGCTCTACGCGGAGTGGTCAGACAAACGCGAGCACGGTGCGATATTCGAGCAGTAAGCCACGCCCGCTCGAGCACTAGGCCGCGCCCACTCGGGCCGTAAGCCACGCCCACTCGAGCACTAGGCCGCGCCCACTCGGGCAACGATTCTGTGGTGGGGGCACTGCATGAATGTAGTAGTGAACGACTGGCCTGAAAAAGCATGGTGATCGTACACGCTGAAAAAGGTCACCGATGATACGAAACGCCTCACGAACGTACCAACACATACCTACACTCCGACCCTGTCGTTGTTCCCCCACTCTATTTACGATTGTGGCGTCATTTGCCCCGGCCGCTGCTCCCGGCTCTGCTCGGGGCAAAAAAGAGCGCTCTGTTGCCCCCTAAACGGCTGCCTGAACAGTGTAGAGTGTAAAGTGAAGTTAAACTGTTACATTTTGTATTCCATATTCGTTTTGTCATTCGAATTACTTAATCCCTACAAACCAGTCGAAAAATTTGTAATATTATTGTTTCTTTACGAGATGAACGCAATGTTGGAACTTTTACACATCACTGTATGCAACTATTACGCATAAACGCGAACGATTTTTCTTCACTTCGGTTGCATAAATTGCACGCCAGTACATAGATACCTACTTCCTGTATACGAACCTTCCGAGCAAGATTTTTAATGGAACATGGCATTCTACCTTGTGATTTGTAAACTCGTAGAATTCCGAATACTTTTTTTATCGACGACCCTCCGTCAAGAAAACACATTGTTTCTCTAATACATCGATCTAAATAATAAATGCGCAATCGATCGTATCTTTTGCAAGGTGTCATGATTGGACAGACAGTTAACAGATGAAACAGAACGTTGTTGTGTATAAAAAAGAGCACACACGTTAGATTGGAAATTAAGGCGATAAAAAAAGAAAAGAAATTGGACGATAATAAAATGCCGTAGAAAAGATTAGAAATTTGTTTGGATTGCGTTTGGCTTTCGTGTCTTCGTAGTGGTACACATGGAAAGTTAATTCAACAGTTTTGAAAAGGTTACGAAGTAATATAAAAAGTGTTTACTGAGAACTTTGGAAAAACAAAAAAGTTACATGGTCTACCATTCTCGAACGGCAGTTCTTTTATATACAATTATTGTTCTACCCACGTTTATATTTTTGATTTTCCAACAAGCTACGTTAAGCGTAAAATAGAGGTCACTATGAAACCGAAGAAACATGTAGGTGCGTAAAAGGTCATATCATAGAGAAACGGAATTATCAAGTGCGGTTTCTAGGAGTACAGAGAATAGCAGAAAGTTGCATGCGCGCTGTTAAACAACTGAGATAGAAATCTCGAAGCAGATTATTTCGCTTCCAATATTTCCCTACTACTAAGAGAGGTTTACGAGTTATAAACTCTATGGTTTTTAATGTGTTTTTTTCCTCACACCCTAATTTGTATACTGTTACATGTACGCACCGATCTTAAATTATTCCAAGTGAATTTTCAAAGATCAACACTGTTGCGCCATTGTTTCTCTTTTTCTTTCGACTAAACGACAAGTTCTCATTTTAGTCCTGGTTAACGTATCGACTTTAATCTTCCAATATATTTCCCTATTTCCGGGCAAATACAACGTTTGTCCGTCCTTCGAAAAGCGTTGTGCCTGATGCATAATGCGGAACAACATTAAATGTTTTCCGCAGATATAGTACGTAAGTGATGTATATCACGTAACATACCGGGTGTCTCGTGTGTCATATCCGCGATCATATTCTTATCACTTTCAACGGCGGAAAGCTAAGTGCGGGAAGAAAAGTTGTTCGATTCAATAGATCGAACTGAAGATCTCGTTTTCACATTTTCTTCAACCGTAACAATATTCAACGTCGAACACCTTTCAAATGTGTCAAAACCGATCGAGTTCTCTGTTTCCTTTTAACCATCACAATATTTCCTCATTCAAAGTCATTCTAGTAAGATCAACAGATGATACATACCTGAATTCGATTCTTCGTCAGCTGCAACAATAACGACAAGAAAAATACAACATTGCTCCAAAAACAAAAAAAAATGTCAATTACATACCTTGGAGAACTGGAAAAGAGAATCACCTTGGGTACTCAAATCGTCGGTCACACCTATATTCGTTCTATCGAACGGAACAACATATTTCCGGCATGTTTCTCGCCGAAATTAACGGAGACACGTAGGTCAGACAAGGCAAACGAAACACCCTGTACATTGTATTTACTCGCTACGGTAAGTGTAACGTGAAGAAAATCATACGGTTAGCGTCTGTGAGAATTTGTAAATGGTGTAATCTTGCATTTCCGGCGGAATGAATGGGGAAAAGAATGAACTAAGCGTACAACAGTATGTAAGTAGACAGGCATAAGACACAACGATGAAAGCTTCTATAATATAGATAGAGACGTATTTGAATGGAAAAGTTGATCGGTTAACTATTTACTTGTACTTCATATTTTTGTATAATATGACATACCTTTTTGCGGATCATGTACCGTGTGAAGTATATCGTGCAATATAAAACTGCATTCCTCGATCGAAAATTTGTCCTACCTATTCGACAGTACCCTCTTGCGATTCGTTGTGTTACCATCACTCACAAAACGTCCTAGCACTTCGTCGTCGTTGTTCAAAATTCGAAGAGAGAGAGAGAGAGAGAGAGAGAGAGAGAGAGAGAGAGAGAGCGACTGTCTGACCGTCTGATTTTGAAACGTTGGGAAAATCCTGTCGAATTACGTCTAGTAATAGTAGTAGTAGTAGCAGTAGTTAAATGTTCACCTTAAACGTCAATTTTAAGGTACTTTGTCGCGGAAGCATCAGTTAAATGTTTCGATGTAATCTCATCGAGATTCGGTAATATCCTATAATATGAAGCTCCAGCACTACAAAAGTTAAAATGATCATAGCCGCAAAACTGTCGCTTCCTGATGTCGTCCTCTTCAGTGTCTAAAACCGTTTTGTCGAGAATTTCGGTTGTTTTCTTTTTTTTAAATTTCGTTTTTAAGTACTTTTCGTTTTTTCGATATTTAACGTTGGACAATTTTCCAAGCGTTCGACGCACGAGAGTCTCGTCGTTCTTTTTATAGGTCGTAATTCTAGGTCAAAAGGATAGATTCTTCATGCATTCACAGAGCTTAAATGCAATTGTTTAAAAACTAATCCCTCCGACGAATCCATTTGGAAATTACACGGTTCGGTGACCCCGATTCGGAATTGAAGGAACAGAAAGAGAATGATTTCTTTTTTTTTTTTTGTCAGAGTTGTCGTTCTTGCCGACTGCATCTGGGAATCGAAGGCGTTCAGTCGGTTTCTCACATAAAACCATTGCAATGATTGTATTGTATCATGTTGACTTGTTCGTGTGCGTGTACGTGTGTGTGTGCGTGCACAAGTAGTGCGCGGGCATGTATACATGTGTGCGTGTGTAACATTGCATCAATAATGGTTCGTATGAAAGACATAGACGTATTTTTGATGTTGTCTTCGTCGATATTGCTCGGTCGGTTGATATTTTACGAATGTCTTTCGAAAATAGTGTTGTATTATCGATGACTGATCCCAAAACCGGGAACGTGAATTAAGGGGCCAACATTTTTGAGAGCTCCTCATCCTGAAGGCAACCTTTCAAAAATTCCTCTTCGGTAAGCTGACCGTCGTTATTCTCATCCATTCTTGCAAAAATGTTCTTTGCTCTCTCTTCTGCACTATCTGCCGGTCTGTTACTCGAACATGCTCCGAGCATGTCGTATATTGCCTGTAAACAGAGAACATGGTCCATTTCATCAAATTCGTTAAATACTTCTACGGCGAATGTCGATGGTACAATTTGCTGCTCTTTCAACGTAAATGATACTTTGCCGAGATCCTGAAAATAAGAATGTAGAAGTCTCTTGCCGATTAGGTAGGTGATAATATACTTTATAGGGTTTACACCGCTCTGAGGTGTTTAAAAGTAGGTAAAAGTCTGGGAATTTGTTTCACAGGTAACTGTGAAATGAGAAGTTTCAATTTTCTTTTCAGAGGATGTAAACGTAACTTTCAGCTTTTTTCTGGAAGTTTTAAAAAGTAACAATGTTTTACAGAATTGGCGTAAGTTCGGAAAGTTCTGACGGATTTCATCGTCTGAATTGGATAACTCTGACAAAAGTTAACGTATTTATGCAAAATAAGAATCGTCACAATCGATACACATTTGTCGAAGTTTCGCTAATTTATTTATACCATCTGTAAAAAAACTGCAAGGTCTGGAATCAACGAAGTCCACGAAGGCATGTTTCACACTGCGTTCATTTCGAACTGTTTTCTCCTTGATAAAATGATTAAAATGTTTGAACAGATGGTAATTTGTTGGGGAAAGGTCCGGAGAATAGCGTGGATGTTGTGGAGTCTCATATCTCAGGTCGTTGAACTTTTGCACTGTAATTAATGATACGTGCAGTTGGACGTTATCATTCAAAAGAATCAGACCCTTTTTGTTAATTGCAGGACCCTAGTTTATTACAATACTCTTTCGTCGTAATCATTTCTCCCTTTTTTAATAAATTATGCTGAATAATTCTGCCAATAGACCACTAAACAGGTAGTATTGTCTTTTCCGGATGTGCTTTAGGGTTTGGAAAGTGTCTAGGTGGTTTGTTAAGAACCAATCATTGCCCAGATATTTTCTGACTATCATAAAGTACTCAATTTTCATCCCAGGTAATAATTCTGTCAAGAAAAAGGTATTTGATGTTCCACAGTATATGGAAACTGAAAATTGAGGCACGAAAGCATTCGCTAATTATCGGACAGCTCGCGTGGAACCCATTTATCCATTTTCTTCGCCTTGCCTATGTTTAGTGGATGGCATGATTAAATTAGCGAAACGTTGGCAAAGGTGTATCAATTGTAATGGTTCTCTTTTTCAATAAATACGTTAACTATCGGCGGAGTTGTGATTATTTAAGTTCAAACGACGAAATCTAACAGATGTTTCCGGACGACCTAATACAGTAATTGTACAGGCATGAATTTTATTCTGAAACATAAAGTCAAACAGTGTTAAGGGTAACGGTTCCTTTTCTGATTTGGTTCCAGGCAGGTATTACAATGGTCTGACACTATACCGGCATTGTTCTACTAAATAGAATCTACTTTATGTAATGTCTTTCATTGTCTGTATAGTCTAGGGTGCCAGTGATCGATTTCCGGCTGCTCACGGGGGTGAATCGAATGGACGTGAAAACTGATGTGTTCCGTAAATTGCTTTAAGATATTGTACGAGAGGTAGGTAAGAATTATGAACGGTACTGTTTTAAAACTTCGATATTATTATTTCTGTGTGTAGTTTTTGCTGGTTAATCGGTGGAGGGTTCTAAGAATTCGATTGGTAACTTTATTTGAGAGAAGAGAACACACATTGAAAGGTTTCAATTATATTGTAAGTATATTTCATTCCGAATGGGATGAAATTTCTACTTAGTACAAAACTTATTTTAATAAGGAACACGGTTAATGCATATATTTTCCATACAGATGCTTTTGTACAAGCTGCATTATCCATAGATGAATAAGTTGAAAATGTGGCTTAGCACTTTTTCATTTGAACACAAGTGTTCAAGTAAATGCTTGTGGCAATGTTCTGCGTACAAACTACTGCGTACAACAATGTTTTGCATGTCGTACAGCGAAAATACGTGCGGTTCAAAATGAACGCGTTTCACAAAGTTGCAAACGCGAACCTCTCATTGCAACTTTGTTGTCGGGGACCGCTCCCGAAAATTGCACATTGTTGCAAA